GGGGGGGGGGGGGGGGGGGGGGGGGGGGGGGGGGGGGGGGGGGGGGGTGCTAGACTGGGAGGCCCAAGGGGAAAAGCTAGTTGCATGGATGCATGCAGACATACATTTAGTCACTAACACCTTAGCATCTTCCATACATAGGTAAGGACATACTACAAATTCTTCAATTTGTGCAGGAAAATAGACTTCCATTACCAGAGTAAAAAGGCTACTGCTCCTAAAATTGCTTTATTTTCATTGTCCTAGATTGTCCCACATGCACAAACTATATTTGAGCTTGTGCTGGTTTGGTTCTCTCAATTTTGTTCTTTTCCATCTCATTTTAATTGGCGGTCATTTAGAGCCATTGTCAGTTATCAGCCTGCCTGTGCCACCTCCATGCTCGCCATTAACCTCCTCCTGCATGCCTCGGACAGTCAGGCATGTCTACATAACACTTTGCCATCATTGCTTGTCTTATTTTGTAACAAATCATTTTCTTTAAACACCTTCAGCACTAGAGTTTCATCCCAGTATCCATGTATGCTGCTATAACTATACCACTGCAACCATCATTACATTCCAGTTTTTTGGCATAACTAAGAGACCATAATGTATTTGTGTTGATTTGGGGAAGTCATACATCTCAGCTCTAGCCTCCAATGCAATCAAGAGAGACTCCTAAAACTGTGGTCCACCTTCAGCACTTCAGTAACCTGTTGTGAGCACTGAAAACCTGGAACACCACCAGAGAGATTCACCACTGCAAGCTAATGACTGTTGTCAGAGGTCAACCACTTGCCATTCAAATGCTGCCTTAAACTAGAGTGCCTAAATCTGTTGTTTGCCAACACTACCACTTACAGTATCCCACAAAGGGCTTTGTGTCTCAGCTCTTTCCACAGTGCTGCAGTTGCTGAGGTAGCCACGGTAGGTGTTTTCTAGAGCTCTACTTTACTGGATACATGGTGCATCATGAATTTTATACATTGAAACGTGTATCTCTTCATTTGACTTTAGTATTTTTTTAGAATATTTTTATGGAAACTGTCTTTTAGTTTTTCACTATGAAGTTCCAATTTTAATTACTGCAGTGCTAGTCCATTTCCAGGTGATGCTTCATTGTATGGACCGATTGAAATTTGAGTGATACTTCGTAATGATCTATGTGCACTTTTACTTGTAAACAATTGAAATTTGGATATGTTTATATGTGTAAATATAGTTGTCTGCAGTGCCCCTATTGCTTATGTTGTCTTGCCTCCCATTTGTGGTTCTATTAATAAATACATCATATCTGATTTACTAGGGTGATAAGAATTAGACTAGAGATGTTGGGGGGAGGGATACTTGTATCAAAGCAAGCTTGTCAACCCAGCCACCTGCTGTTTGGGGAAATTAAATAATAATCAAAACATCCTGTTTTTCTGGGGTCTGAAGCAATATTTGGATGCAGCAGTGCTGGATTCTTTTTAATTTCAGTGTTATTAGGAACTGTACTACCAGTAAAACTGAATGAGTGACTTGTGTAGGGGGTTTATTCCTTTTGTTATGTATACCACTATTACACAGCTTGAACTAGTGTATTATGGGGGCTATTAAACTCTAAAGTTTAGATTTTTGGAGCTTGTATACAGGGTTATTTATATAATAATGTGACATTACTCAATACTGACAAAACTACTTAGGTAGTTTTTTGGGTTTGGGGGTTGTTGGGTTTGTTTTGTTTTTTTAAACCTAGTGCTTTTTATTTTAATGTTAGAGAAAAGGAGGAAATGTGATCTGTGTATCTTCTGCTAAAGGGCCTATGGTTTGCCTGGCTTAACAGCCTTGCAGGTCAGTAATAACACTTCCTGGTAAAGGACTAAATGTTCTTTTCACGCTACTGTTTGTTTTTCTAAAACCAGGATTTGCTTCCTTTGGAGGCAAGTTGCTTTCACGAGGGATAGTGCAACTTGTATGAGGGTTATTAAACATAGGAAAAAAACATTTGTACTTGCACAGCTAGTTATAAATCACTTATTCTAAAATTCTGAACGTGACTTGTCTTAAAGAATCTTACATTTTTGAGTAATTTTTAATCCTTTTTTGTGCACATGTTGATTTCCTAAATGTTAAATGCTTTGTTTAAAAATAGTGTTCTCTGTTGAGAATATTTTCATGAATAAAAAAATCTTTTCATGGTCTAAGTCTTTAGCTTCCCCATTTGTCTTCTGTTAAGATTGACAGGGAGATGTTCAGTATGAGGTCTGTCACCCCCTCTTCTTACAGAGGTAGAACCTCTGCTGTGATTGCAGATGGGGAGAACAGGTAATACTATTTTGATGCTGGCCTACTCAATGCTGTAAGTATCATCTCACTCCAGAAATAAGCTTACTAACGCAGCTCTAGCCATAGTTCTTGCTTAAATATTTATACAACTTCTGAGGATAATGCTTATATGCCAATTCTGTATTTGACAAAGTGGAATTTGCTGCAAAAGCACTCTTTATATAAACACCACACACACTGATTTCCTATGAAAAGTGCTAAAGCTTACGCTTTTGCCTTCATCCAAAGGAAAAAAAACCCACCTACTTACCAAAGTGATTCACCTCAGTAAATGAAGCAAGTTTAACATATACATACACCCACATTTACTCATATCTGAAAGCATTTAATTATCGGGATTGTTTGGTTCTTGCCATTTCGTTATTCATTCCTGGCAGCATAGCTGTTGCTCAGGCTCCAGCAGAAGCCAAAGTACTACAGATGCTGTCTTAAAAACAAACGTAAGTTGTCCCAAAACACACACACAACTGATTTTTCTACTTCCCTACGTACAGCAATACTTGAGCCTACTGTTGTGGTCACAGATAAAGGATCATTTCTGTAACCTGCAGTATTTCTGTGATCTGCAGATTATTCTGCATAAAGATACACTTTAATTCACAATTCTATGTACAGTGTTTTATATTCATTAAAGGAATATTGTACAACAAATTTTCTGCAATGTCACATACTTAATCTATCATTTTATTTACACTATTTGCTTCATTTTAATATTAAGATGCCAGTGCCCTTAGTCTTAGGCATTATCAAAACATTGCAACTCTGAGGAAATACAGGAAGCTGTATTACAGGGATAACCTAACTTTAAAGGGATTATTAAATGACTTGGTGACACAGTAAATAAATAATTTGTGTAGAAATCAGTAGTTTTAGAACAAGTGTGCATTGTGCAGTTAAAAATTCTAAACATCTTGTGAAATGCAAGAAGTTCGTGCAGTATCAAATTGCCAAAAGAAAGCTAAGGTTATTTCAAGTATATCAATCATTTAAATAGTGTTTACAGAGTCTTATATACTTAGTCGTTCCACGTGCTTCACTGGAGGAGGTTCCAGTTTTCGGGAAAGTGCAGTTAAAATCTGGCTGAATTTCTCGTATCTTTCATTCTGATTAACTTGTGCTCCTTTGCTGCCCCAGAGCAATCTCATTTGAAATTCTGTCTTGAAGATTTCACTCATCTCTTCATCTGGCTGGAAACCTAATAAATAAAAAGAATCCCACAGTGTCACTATCAGGCAAGGTTTTTATTGGAAGAAAGGGCTTTTAAACTGTATTCCCTCCAAATAAGATAAGCTTCAGTGTGCTAGGTTCCTTTTGCACAGTGATTTTAACAAGTTAGAAAGGATTTGCACTGTTTGACTATTTGTGACATTCTAGTAGCACACAAAGGTCTCTAGGGAGAGGACACAGGGACAGGCTGCCACTTCCTTACTTCTAATGCTCTAGAATTCTCATTATAGCCTGATCTTAAATATAATTACTGATGTGTATGTACATGCTGCCTGTAGAAATACACTTCTCTCGCCTCCCTTAACATTGCAGCTTTCTGGCCACAAGCAGTCAAGATCTCAATGTTGCATTTTGTGCTGCTCTAAAGTATCTTATGATGGGTGATATTTTATTCACAAAAAAACAGAGAGTAGGAATTTTAAATTGTACAGAAGACTGGAAGTTATCCTCAGTCCTTACTGTACTTCCATTTAGTTGCTAGATGGGTCAGCATATTGTCATGAGAACTTTGACTACGTTTAGCAAAAATGTGTGCTCTATTGCTTGCTGGAGAACTACAGCGATGAATCATTTACTGTCTGCTTTTGAACAATATTGATGATGTCCTTAGTTTCCTGCAGTACATTTGCTACTATCTATCTATCTCAGCTCCCACAAAAGAAGAATTTCTTGCACTGACTTTTAGTGGCACTTAGGCAGAGAACTTATTCCTCGGACATAACCCACAAATTCCACTAATGTGCAGCAATTTCTCCTGCTAGTGCTCCCTACCTTCCAGCATCCGTTCTGCAGTCAGGCTGTACGTTTCTGCGTTCTGTGCTATCTGACGAGCTGTGGCCAAGTGCTTGAGCATTATTTCGCAGCTTTGGTCACTGCTTTCCCACATGTCCATGCCTTCAAAAACAACAGCTTGTCGCTCCATCAAGGTAATGAGAGGCATCAGCAGTGGCACTGTTACAGCATTCTGTGGAGCACTGACGGTCTCTAGGATAAAGAGTAACAAACACTGTATCAGACACCATAAAACTTGCTCGTTGAAGAAGGTATTTTAACTGCAGTATTCTTTTCAACGTTAGAAACTACTGTTTGTCTTCCATACACATCTCTTACCAAGTTTCCAATGAACTGGCTGGGGGAAAAGGTCAAGACAAATCAGTGTGGGAAAACTATCTGCTACATGAGAAGGCTCTGCTGACTTACCGGACCATGGCACACATTTTAAACTGATTTAAAATCTGGGTCATTCCAGTAAATTCTGTGAGGCTAACATGTTTTTCCTTCTACACCAATTGTCTTAGACAAATGTTATCTCTGCCTTGCACCCCTTTAGAGACTAGAGCTGCAAAGAATCTGATGCAGGAGCACCTAGATGTGATCGGAGGAATTGATTGACTAACCCCTTTTTTGAATTTGAGGATTTGTCCTCATCCCAGGAGGTGAGGCAAAGCAAATAAAAAGCAAAATTTGCCAGAAGTAACACCTCTGAGGAAGAAGGAGATCTGAGGCAAGATGATGCTGGATGTTTCAGTTTCTTCTCCACAAGGAGGATGTGTGGGTTTGGGTAGAATGTTATATTCTGCACAGGTACATACAGATGTGTGGCTGGCAGACTCTTCTATTTCATTGAATTATACTGCATTGTGCAAGTTCACATAGTCATTTTAACACATGATGCACAGCTATCAGAACCAGCAGCTACCTTGTCTCTGGACACAGGAAAGCAGTAGTGGGAGAGGTAAAAGGATAAATGGAAACCAGTGTCACTCATACTCACTATTCCACTCATCTTCTCCTTCATGCAAAGCTTTGCTAAATGGCTTCAGCTGCTTTTCATAGATAATGGCAGTCTGGGTATAATGATGTCTTAGAGAGGTCCAGGTTTGTTCTAACCTAGTGACCTGTTCATACAAAATAGAGAATACCAATTACTGACTCCATAGCAATTCACAGTAAAAACACCCTGCTAGTGCTGAAGTTTCTGTTCTGATGGTGTATCTAGTCTTGAAGAAACTGCATAAATTAAACAGACCTATCAAATGACTCCATGATTTGGAACATAGAGAGAAACAGATTTTTACCTGTGGCATTTCAAGTGCTTTCATAATGGCAGAAAAGGCATACAAATCCCCCAGCGAGTCCTTCAGCTCCACTGCGACTTGGATGATCCTGTTTAATGTTGCTGCTCTATCTTCTAGATTTCCTGTGCAACCCAAGATATCCACAGCTATTCCAATTGCCATGGTATTGTGTCTGTAAGTGAAACAAATTATACTACTGGTTACAAATTACTAATCATACGTTATGCTGTATGTGTGTTCAGAGAAGATCAGATATATTTCAGTATCTTGGTGTGCCCTGCAAACTGACATCTTTGTATCGAAAACATTAATGCCATTATATAGACTATATACATTGACCTTGAATTTGTGTTTTAATAGATTTTCCTAAGCTATTACTACTAAATTTCTCCCAAGCAATGAATGAACGAACGAACACTTTGGGGAAAATTACCCCAGTTCCCTTTGGCCTCCACAGTCAAATTGCAGCAACTAAAACTACTGAAATCTGATTCAAAGAAACAGAAAAGCTAGATCAGAGCTAGAACACGCTAACTGTTCCTCCTTGTGCAGAGGTTTTACAGAAAGCTTTGCTGATTATTTTATACTTCACTAGATCCTCTAGCCTATTCCCCAGTTGCAGAAGTCTCCTACCTTCAATCTCTTCCACAAACATTTACATGCTCAGCTAGATTCTAGGTCCCCTAAACTTTAGTTTACCCAGGCTCTTAAAGGAGGGTGGTTTGGCCACTCTAAGGACCCTCCTTTCAATACAGTTCCCCTATCCCTGGATGACATGCATGGAGTTGCCCTGTGACCTTAAGGAATTTCTCCTATGCAAAAAGTTGTTACATGCCATCTCATTAAATATCTTCTGTACACAAGAATTCAGGAAACGTGCAGGACAGCATTCTTGGAGATAATGTGGAGTACAAGATAGCAATGCTCTCTGATCTTCTGGCCATCTGCCCTGGAAATGAGTAACAGGAACATTTACCTTTCAATTAGGTCAAGGCGCAGTTGATGTCCATAAGGCAAGGTAATCAGTTCCAGACCAGAGTTCACGCCCATAATCCTCCTCATCTCTTCAGAAACTTCTAGTATCCTCGCCACCTGTCAAGCACAAAAGTTTCTGCATGAGTTTTGAAACAAAAAAAAATCCCCTAGCCATGTACAAGTCCTTTGGGTTAGTGTGGAGCATAGAAAGCTAAGTGCACAGTGTGCAACATTAGAACACGGTCATCTAAGAAAAATTTAACTTACATTCAGTGCCTTGCATAAAAGGACCAATAAAGTATTCTTTGCATGATTCAGCCATCGTAAAACATATAAAAGGTGTGACCAAAATGCTTTATCAAACTTCCATCGTCCATTTCCAGAAGGACATTCATATGCAAGCTCCAGGAAATGAGGTGCTCTCTTGGCCTGTTCCTTGTCAGAGGGGCACTGCTCTTTGGCCTTGAAGATGTATACATTTGCTTCACCTTTTATTTCTAAAAAGTTGACTGCTCAGAGCAATTTTGGATTACGCCACAGGGTCTTCATAAGAATTAATTAGTAAAAGGACTTTAAAGGAGGACACTGAATGTTGAGTGCCTAATGAAGTCAGTATGTGAAAGCTGACACACCAATTTGTCTTTGCTTTTTAATCATACAGGATTAGCTACTGGTTATATCAATAACATATATGCTAATTAGAAGCAAAACCACACGAATATGATAATGTGAGATTATCTGCTGGTTTAAGGCCTGTATATCGACACATTTACAAACCAATCTGCCTGCTATTTTCTGATACACTCATTGGCAGGTCTTCTTGGTTATGAAAAGATGAAAGCAATCTGGGTCACACAACAAGCCTCACTGGTACAAAACCTAGGACTGTAGAGAAACCTGTTTCACTTCTAGAGACACAGGAATGATATGAAGCCCCGGGAAATACACCGATCGCTAGTCTGTCACAAAAAGCCCTCTCAGGCATACAAGTGGCAGATACTCACTCCATCACTTACATCTATATCTTTCATTATTAGAAATGTCATTATTTAAAAGGCAAACTGAGCTACTGATGCCACAAGCCCTACAAACTTCGACCTTATCACAGATCTCAGTACAAAGCATTATTCTGGCCCAGTTCACATGCCAATCCCATTGTGTCATGCAGTTCTTATCAGTGGAAGAGCACGAAACAAGTTACCAATGAGTGACATCCGTTGGCTCTCAAGCACTGTGAGATGAAGGTAAAATAGACTTCTCTACATGTCACAGCTAGTTATTGTTTCTGCTCCAAAAATCTGCTTCTGTAAAACACTCCAGTGATTCTTAATTAACTGTACAGGCTCCCACACCTCCAGCAGGCCAGTTTCCTTGGCTCCATTCCAAAGTTTGTAGGATTTAAAATAAGGAGACTATTAATGAGCTAATTGAGTAATACATATAAAAAACTCCTTACCACTTCGTTAAGGCATACATATCTTCTGCCTTCAAGCAGCATATTCTTTAACAATATATTAAAAGACATTCTGGTTATTGTTATTAGGTTGAAGGAGGAAAAGGTGAATTTTGGAACTAAAATGTTAGAGAATGCTGTTGGTACTCTTGGAACCATAGTAAAGAAGCCCTGGTCTATCACTTCTGAAAAGACCAAGCAGTTGTGAAGCTGAGTTTTTTTGAGTCACCATGTCTGCATGAAGCCTCACTTTAGCAGCAGCCAACACTGCTACTGAGGAGAGGTTGGCAGGATCCCAGCAGCTGGCAGGCACTCACACACACTCATCCCACTGCTGCTCTCCAGTGAACTGTCCCCTTCCCAGACCTAGGGTGTGAATCAGTGCAGCAGCACTAGCAGGGTGCTACAGACATGTTTCTCCTGGAGCACCACCATTCCCACTTCCTTTCTTGCCTGGAATGGACTTGCCCACACTTGCCACGTGTGTTGCTTCTCAAGCTGCTCTTAAAAAAAAAAACCAAAACCCACAACCAAAAACCAACAAAGCCCATCACACTTGGTTCCTGTAGCTGCTCTGTGGCAGCTACAGCACCCAACAAAGTTGTGCAGATTCAACTGCAATTGCATTTCTTTTATTACACAAAGTCATCATCTCATAAGGACATGACTACTTCTGTCTTTCTGTATTTCTGATCCAATAACTGATCTCCAAGCCCTGTCAGCTGAACATGATGAAACATAGTTCTTCGTGGTTTTACATCTTTCCAAACAATTCTGCTAGCAATAGTTCTCTCATAGGAGAGAAATGCAGAAGTCCTGATTGATAGCTATGTTCCCACACCATCTATCCAGCTGTAAGACAGAGCCTCAGACAGTGATTAGAAGAGCAGCTAGTTTTAGAAGTTTATTTAGTTCCACTGAACATGATTATTATGGCTAGCAGTATGACAACCAGGTAATGTCTGTCTACTGTTTGCCCTTGCAAGCTAACTAGCTATTTCCTGTCACGATCAGTTCTTTCTGCAATGGTTTACAGCACAGATGGCTTTTCCTTCAGTATAGAAGAAAGGCTGGATCACAGATATACAGCAACTGATAGGAGACTAAAAAGATGTATGGAACACTGAGAATTTGAATCTAAAGTCATGGATGGTGGGAGACCTGTAATCCAAAGAGTTTGTAAGCATTCTTGTTCTCCAAAGGGGGGAAAAAAACCCCCACCCTACCAATTCCTGCAAGCAAGCCAATACATTTATTACATTAGCTGTAAATCTACCTATCAATCTTTTAAAATGAGTTATTTTAAAAGTCTAAATTTGCACAATTTTATTTATTTATTTATTTATTTATTTTACCTTGCAGTCCATTCTAAGAATATGCTGTGCAATAATCTTTGGATTGTTGTTAGTGAAAAGCTCCTTAACTCTTCTTAACATTGATGTTTCCAATGGCTTGTTTTCAGGAGGAAGCAGTTTGGATTCAAAATCATTTGGTTTAAAACTAGACACTGTCTCAAGAACAGGTGTAGAAAATATGCTGTCTTCTTCAGTCATCTCAGCTGAATCTTCTACAGGATCTGCAGTGTTCATTGTAGGGTCATCTTCCAGGATCAAATAGTTTGTTTCAGAGTTCCTGAAAGAGTGTGGTCCCCTCTCCTTTCGTGTCAGATGTTCCACATAGCTGTTTTTCTGACATAAAAGTTGTGTTGTTGCTGCAGGATGTCTGGTGGGCCTTAGTTCACAGTAGTGTCCTTCTGAACTGCGGGAAGCTGAAGGAGAACCTGGGGGCTTCATCAGGGGTGCTTTGGTGGGTTTTGGTGGAGGCTTTGGACAGAGCTGACTGTCTGATCCTCTAAGAGCTTCTCCTACTTGTGACTTTGAGGTCACCTTCTGAACAACTGTGGGGCTTAGAGAAGGTTCACTGCCTGTTCTAAATGCAGGAGAGCTTGGACAGGAGTCTCCATCTGCTTCAGGTAATCGAGATGGATGTCTTGAACCTGCAAGGGAAAATGGCATTTTAGAAGGCCAAAACATACAATTCCTGATGCCTTCCCCAGGGTTCATCTCTTAATGCTATTTCCTGAGGAAAATATTGTCAGTTCATGTTAATTACTTGCTGACAAAAATGTATATGAAATTGTATGTTGAGGAATGAGCTAGCAAGCAAATTCCATTCACTTGCTGATCCTCCCAAAATCCCAAATACACAGAACAGCTGCACCATAATATTATTATGTGGTAATGCTGACAATAATTCAGTCCCTGCTGCATACATAGGCTGTACTGTCAGAGCTGGATAGTCTCCATGGCTTGGAATAGGAGGTTTCTTTGTAACCTGATCAAGGCTATAAAAGCAGAAACTTCCAGCCACACCACATTAAAGATGAGTCATTTCTGAGAATGACAAGTTTGAGATGAAAGAAAAGCTTCCCAAAGTCAAGCCTGAACCTGCAATAAGGTATGGAAGGAATGAATTTCAGGGATGCTAATCTTTTTCCTAAACAGTGGCTGATTTGAAGAGCCAAATGCGTAGAGAAACACATCCATATACTTCTGTGTATTTATGTCTCATCCTGTACTCATTCCATATGCAAACCTCAGCATCTGATATAGCACTGAACCCTGTATCAGACATTGCCAATCTGCAGTTCTCAGTGCATTTGCTGGCATCTACAGCAAAGCAGCCAGTTGCATAATGTGAGCTTTACTGCTTGTTTCCAGCTGGATCTCAAGTTATGCAGACAACAAAATCTGCAAATCACAGCCCATCACCACTCATAAGCAGTATGATACCAGAACCTGCTTGGAGTACCCTATGACAAAATATATATCAGTACTCTTCAGGTTAACCGTTACAGTACCAAACGAAAAGTTTGGATTGGAATAAGATAATAAATTCAACTACAGATAGACAGAAACTTGTTTTATGAATGTCTGTCCATCCCACTGTTAAACACAGGAGCACCACTTTCTATCAAAATACATCATACTATACAAACATTTCATATTATCTTTGTCTCAAAAAGTCTACAATAGGCACTGTAAATTTTAACAGCTACCATATTCAAAATGATTAGCAGCCTTGGAAGTCAAAGACTAGTATTTGTCCACGTGGGAACAGATGCATCATTGCAAGCTTCCTTACACAGTATGTTAGTATGGAAACAATTGCTTAAACCTCTGAAGAATCTGAGACAGAAAAAGCCACAACCAACAACTGATCAAGCGTTGGTACACCCTGTACCACTGGAGGAAGACAATGACAGTGGCTGTGGAACCAGAGAGCAGCAAAAGGAATGATAAACAAAAGGGATTGGAGGGGCGTGGGAGGGGAGAGATATTGAGACAGACAGAAGGACAGAACTGAAGCACTACCACATCTGCACACTTTACCCTGAGAAAAAACAGTTACCAGGATTTCTATGACACATCACTTCTACTTAGTAGACTTCTGTCAGAATGACACGAGTGAAACAAGTCAGTTCTTGTAAAGCTCAAGGGAGGAAAGGTAACACTGTCAAAAAAGATATTAATGCCAACTGTAGCTATCATTTTTTTGGTATAGCACACATCTTTTGTATGCTAAGGTACTCAACTAGTTGGTGCACTGTAACTAAAAAACCTGTTCCAATGACTTAAAAAAGCATTAAAGCATTATGCTAACACAGCTTATGTTGGCCATTAAATATGACTGTATATACAGTACACAGAACACTCAACAGTCGTACTTTAGTCTGAAGTGTAACAAACTGGGCACACACAGATTCTAAGTATGAAACATTTAACTACAAAACATACCTATTAGCAGATAGCTCTCTGACTGGTGAGCCTTTAAAGGGAATCTTTTCTCCAGAACATGATCCAAACTAGCTGGCTGGCTACCACATTTTTCTTTGTTTCTAGGGTAAACAAAAATGCAAACAAAACCATATCAATATATCTAACACTCTTAGCATACATACCTAATTGCCAGAATATATCATAACCAGTGCAACTATGATTAGCCTTCCACCTGGGCAGCTTATAAGAATAAAAGGTACTTCATGCTGTTGTGGTAGCAATGAAATGTTCTGTAAGGTGTGTGAGTCTGCAGCATTCGTGAGGGTGTTTCTTGGAATGCTGAGACTTTTTAACAGAACATTTGATTTGGACACTGAAATTAGGATCCATTATCCCACAGATGGTATTTTTATTGCAGAAGTCAAATACGGACAAGAAACGCTTCTCTAGAGGAGCAGCAGCAAGATTTTATTTTATTCCTTTTTTTTTTATACTAGTCAAGATTTACCAAGTCACTGAAGAACAAGTTGCACCCACTGTTGTTTCCAGAGTCTACATTTGCGCTCATCTTTGGATTTACTGATTTTTAGAAAAAAACCCGCAAAAACCTCCTTTGCTAAAAATCTGCACACCCTCACGTCTAGTCTTCCCTCTATAATCAGAGTGAAAGTTCACATCACCTAGAGCAGGAGCTGGTAGAGTTACCTTATTTCCCTCCGTAAAGACAGCAAAATTAAAAGTACCTCAAAAGATTTCCTCTGGATATACTCTGCTCCGGGGATTGCATGCTGGATATACCAAGACTCAGCCTTTTTGCAGCTTCTGTTTTTCCTTCAGGAATACTTAGCTCTTTTTGTCGGACTGGAGTTACACCATACTTTTCTTCTAGACACCTGAGAGGCACAGTCCTGTTGATAGGCTGAAAAATAATTGCTCCGCTCTGCTTTGATATCGGTGTGCGATTCCCAACATAGTATCTAATTAAGCCGGGGATACTGTCGAAACTTTCAAGTTCAAACTGATACTGAACACGGCAGTAGGCTTCATTGAGTCTTAGAACTGTTCTGTTGATTTTAAAATGCTGAGAGGTATTTTTCCACTGACAGGTAAGAACGAAGTTCCCAGGACTGGAGAGAGAATCCCTAATCAGAAAATCTCCATCTCTCTGAACTAAGCCTTCAGCCACCTTTGAGGAAAAATAATTACACACAAAAATACTTTCAGAATCAGAAAGCAAGTAGTCAAACAGCACATCACAACAAAATATTCTTAAACATGGGATTTAATTTGGCTGCTATGGGAAGACAGACAAAGCCTGAAATACAAAGCAAAGCATGAACTGTGGTAGAAGAAGGATGTCTCACACTGTAAAATTAAGAGCTCATCTCACAGCAGACATCTGGAGGGGCTTCTTGGAAAATGCCCAGCAGCCAGAATCATGATCCACTTTTTCATATATATGTCTTCCAGTTTGTTAACAGAAAATAAGGCATGAAGGGAAAGCAATGACTCTGGATTTTAGAGTTTAAAGCATCTGAATAGACAGTCACACTGAAGTTTAGAAGCCATTACCATAGGACCCCAGAAGTTGTCCTTTTGCTGTAACCTTAAGTGACAGAAGCTTTCATTTTTCATTCTTTGTGAATACTGCATAATACTAGGAATAGTCAGAGAAATCCTGCTTTTCTGCTTTGAGGTAGTCCTTTCATGTGATAAACCACACATCTAACAGTTGATCTTAAGCGCAGCAGACATGGCTGCTGTGCCCGCTCTCACTGAGGGAAGGGCAGCCGGCGGCTCGCAGCTCTGGCCGGAGCCGGGTTCTACCGCAAGGGAGGGAGGCCCGCAGGGGGAGCTCCCGGAGCTCTGGGAACCCAAGCTCCAATCCAACCACAGCTTTAACATACTTTTAACTACGTTTGTGAGGATCAAAATTAAGTTAGATTTTAGATTTTCTTGTGGTTTTTTTCTTCCTTCCTTCTCGAAATTCCAAGTGCGAGAAGGAAAATAAACAAGAACATTACTGAATCAAATTAATGTCAGCATGTCTGAACAACATGGGGAGAGTATTCTCATATAAAGCTTGAATTCCATTTCTGCCTTTATTCAGTGCACACAAATCCTGAAATATCGGCACTGAATCCTTCTTCAGCCTCATTTTATGCCAAGCTGTGATAAATACCATAGTTTGCACACAAATAAGCATTATGTTTCTACTACATTAATGCAGATATCAGAGATGTGTTTGGTACTTTAGTGCAATTCTGCTTGTCTATAAAAGCTCAAAGCTCATTTGGAAATGCAAAGACCACGTACCTGCCGAGGAATACGTCCATGGTACCAGGCATGGCTACGCAAGTCTTCACTACTTAGCTGCAGTTCTTCCTCTAACTCCTTCTTCAGTTTTTCTGGGCTGTTGTCCATAACTTGCCTCTCCCTAGAAAACTGCAATAAAAGATTAAAAGCTTCAACTGTGCCAAGTTTAGTGATTAACATTTTACCTGGGTTATAACTTCCATCACATGATCTGCACTAGCCACTGGAACGCAGGTACTGCTTTTAGCAGGCTGGCTTGGCTTCGGTCTCTAGATTGTATTTGTGAAATCTAGCATCCAGTGAGATAACGTATTATTATACACTGCACGGAACAGAGCAAAGTGTTCTGTCTGTACAACAAGCTAATAAAGGCACACCTACAAAGTCACTTCTCTTACGTCCTCTTCCCAACAAGAATTCTAACTATACCACCCAAAAACGGAGCAGGACACAAGTGCCCGGCTTCAGTATTCCTCCTCCTGTTTCAAGTTCCATTTTAAATTCAGATTCTTCCCCCCCGCCCCCTTTGAACCCATCTAATTAAGAACATTCCAAATGGATCAAGACAAACTAACCTGGACATAGATAGTTGTTCAACATTCCTGTTGCACTAAAAAACAGATTGCCAAAGTAATTTTTCAACTTTAAATTCTAATGGTCATTAAATCTGCATGTCCGAGATGTTTCCTTCTTAAGGGAAAAAGTTCTTGTTGCCCCTTAGCACAAAAAGCCTGAGATCTGCTTGGAGAGATCTCCATGACCACTATACAACTACTGTAAGATTTTCTGGAACATTTCAATCTTCATGTCTTCTTGGAGTACAGCTTCCATGCTGGACCACTCTGGCTCATGGCTCATCACTTCCTGTGGATGCAGTGTTGCTAACAAAGTGAGGTGCAGCATCCCCTCTAGAGTTGTCATCTACTCTTTCATAAGCATTCAGGGGAGGGAAGTTCTGTGGACTTCCTTACATTGTCCAAGGGCTGAGGACTCCAGCCCATCTTTACTGCTGCAGAAGAGTTTCAAAAGCCTAAGATACCCAAGAGAAACATGTTCATTGCAGGGAACATGTTCAACATTGATCAGAGAAACAGAGCATACCCTCTCTTAAAAGAAAGTACATTTTAAAAAAGAGAGGGAGAGAGGGCTGGGACCTCCAGCTGGAGAACAGACTAAAATGCAACATTTTGCTCCAGTGAATTATGGATTTTTTTCTTAGCTCTGGATATGAGCCAAAGTTCACAGGTTCCCTTCACTGACACACTGATGTAAATATGGAACACATGCATTATTTAAAAAAGAATTGGGAATGCATGCCCACCAATTCTATTCTTTCTGTGAAAGCTTCTCTCTATAGCATTTTTTGTTTTTCATATTGAATACTCACAGCACCTAACAGTGGGAGCAGGTGGCATACATTTAGCACTTCTTTCAACAATCCTCCCTGCAATTTCAAGCAGACTGAATTACAACAGATTACTAGACAGCAGATTTTTGGTGGAACAATGCCAGAAGAGGCATCCCGCTGCCAAGACTATTTAAACATGCTGGGAACCCAGAGAAATTCTGAGATAAATTTTCCTCTTCTCTCTGCTTTCCTCAGAAAAAACTAGGGCTTCTCCTAGACAAACACAAATGAGCATAGTAGTTTATACAGGAAGGCAACAGATAAAACCAACAAGGTAAAAGTTATGCTTCTGTTAATCATAACAGGGTAGTATTTATCCATACAAATTTGGTTCAAAATGGACAATCATTTTCAAAAAGGAACAATTTCTTTGTGCTTTCATACAGTCAAGGTCTTCCATCAGCTCCTCCCAAGCTTTATGGCAAGAAACGTCTGTGCAGAAACAAACCACACCACAAAAAGAGACCTTCACTGCAAGGGCTCTTTCGTAAAGCCATATACAATGGGAAGAGATTGAGTTACTGGGTCACAGAGGAACCTTGGTGAGGACTCAAGCCCAAAAGCGTATCAACACATAGTCAAGTAAGGCACAAAATCTCTCCACTCCAAACTTCTGTGATCTCTGTGATCTATCGACTAACACAGCTAAAGGACTAGTGGCCCATGCCTGACACCTTTATTTCCCAACTCAAATGGCTGGGGACCCATTTAAAGCTGACGGGCATTGGTTCCAGAATTAACAGCCACTTCACTGCCTCATCTTACAGAATGATAGCAAGTAATACAGCATTTACATCAGCCAAAGGTAGAGTGAAGAGCACACTGACTCCAAGTAGACTTTTCAAGAGCACCTTGTCCCTGACTGCACAAACTGGAGAACTTTTAAAGTACCTGCTCCAATCTAAACAAGAGCACTCTGTTGTACTGGTATATAAATCTTTTACATTCATAGCTATGGATCTGGCTAATCTTCTGAAAGGAACTACTATTTTAATGTGAATTGTATTTAAGTTTTTTAAAGATGCTTTTGACTGAATAGAGATCTTAAAAAAACCAAAGCTACTGTAAAAATTGTTACCATCCTTCTGTATCTTTGCCTACCATTGCCTACCACTGTATCTCAGTGGTAGGCAAAGCTAATGTGAATGGAACAGACTATAGCATACAAATGCAATAACTGAATTTTCTTGGGAGAGCTAGATTCAACAAAGAGAGCTATACTATAGGTCTTTGTGTATGAACTAATTTATCCATTGTACTGACGCAAATTACCTTAAAAAACCAGGATTATCGAGTTACAGATACACATAAATTACAAATACAGCAAAGAAACCTAGATTTTCTTCTGGTGGTTAAATGGATTTTTTTACCACTCAAGTGAAGGTAATGAGACACATATTGCACTTGAATTACATCTAGAAACACAACAAGAAAAACATTTAAGGAATCCAAACCAACTAAATTGTTAACATTCATGATTATTGGTTTATTAAAAATCCTCTCCACCATGGTCTACCACACTGAGCATACTCTGATTGCCAGAGTTCAGACATCTCCTGAGATGAACCAAACATGCTTAAATAACCTTTATGCAACTCTGAATTTAGTGAAAGAACTCCTGTGGCTAGCACAAACCCTGAAATACACTGCCTAGGTAAGCAAGTTCGGTAATAGCATGTCTCCCTGGACAGTTTTTTTGTTGTCTGAGACTGATTTCTTACACAATCTACAGCCGTTACAGGAGAAGTGTGACTGATGAACTGTCTGTAATCATACCAGCCTATGCCCCTCTATGCTAAACGCTATACCCTGCAAGAATCTCTGCATACACCGAACTTCACATCATGCAAGTAAGGGCTCAAAAATCACTCCAGGCACAGCCTGCACAAGCATGTTAGTCTGTAAATAAGAAAGAGTTTAAGCTTAGAAAAGCATAATAATTATGTCAATGGGCTTTCTTTCAAAAGAAAAGGTGACCTATTCCACATAAATGTGATGCAGATACTTCAGCCTCATTTTCCAATAGGACCCAAAGGGTAATTAATCAGCAGTAATAGTATGCTGTAAATCTGCACTAACTTCATAGTGACAAGCCTTCCTTTAGTAGTATGTCCTCAGTTTATGCCTTTGGCTAAGACACTTTGTTGGCTCATACTCAATGACTGAAAGAAACCCGAATTTATATTTACAGTTAGACAGTGAATAGTAAAAAAAAAAAAAAAAAAAAAAAAAAATTAGACTTCAGTATATTCTGCAACAAAACACGGTTGAAGTGACACAGGGAAGCTTCCAGTTTAATTTTTTTAAGATTTATGAATAGTAACAACCCTGTCAGAGATCCCTAGAATATAAAACCACTTTTTTCAAATACAGATGCTTTTCCTGATGTACAAAGAACTCCCCCTAGTTACATGCTTTCCGGAACTGTTCATGTTCAGTCACATTGTTTCTATTCCTGGTGTTACTTTAAGATATTCCTGCCATGCTGAGGTTTTGTGACTAAGTCTTTAAAAGAAAACCACAAAACTATCTAGCAATATAATATTATCAACCTTCAGCAAAAGCCCTCAATCCTTACATACTCAATGGAAAACCTAGAGACTCAAGAAGGGGGAAAAAAATTTCCAGTCAGTACACTTATTCTAGTGTTTTTAATAAACGTCACTCAAGTTTATTATATTTCACAAAGGATTTCTACTTCAGGGCTATTAAACTAAAAGCAGACTGTGCTTACAGATGTAACAAGCTACCCTTGATGCTACATAGTATTATACTTTTTCAGGCAAATATTAATCCAGAGTATGGAAAACTGGAAAATATCAAAATTTAAGGAAGTAAACAAAATATGATCTTAATTTAAGGTAAATTTTAAAAGGACTTGACCTACTACAATATTCTGTACTTATGAACATATTTTAATGGGAATTTCTCACAATAATTTGTTGTTTGTGCAGGAGTTTGAGTGTTTTGCACTCTGCAAGGGAAACTTGCTCTATATCAAGGTCTTGTGTCAACCAGCCTAGCTGAATTTATCACATTAGATTAGAATAATTTTTAAATTGTGCTGAATAATCTACTGCACGAGTTTGGTGGTAAACAAAACAGAAGTCCCACAGCTATTTCTATAACTTGCTGGCAGTGGATTCTTTTTACAGTTTGTATCTGTAACAACTCCAGTGAAGTACACGTACCCATGGAAAATCAAAATAGCTGAGAGAAGAATCACACAGGTTTTGAGATATAGATAGATAGATAGATAGATAGATAGATAGATAGATAGATACACACCCATAGTTGCATCTTATGTATTCTAGCTTTTGTGGCTTACCTCAATTGTTATTAATTAATTCTCCCTTTAAGGTGATCAAGAGGAGGGTTTTTACTTGATTTTTTTAAACAGCTTGAATTATGAAGAAAAGACTTTTACTTTTTAGACAGTTTGGTATTGTCCAAAATCTGCCATGCTAGATCATCACCTTCAGTTCTGATAATGCAGAATTTCTTATCATGTCTCTTTGTATACTTCTGACAAAGTATTATTTACTTAAAGCACAGCCAAGGACTGTTACAAGCACATGACTGAAGATGGCCTCATTTCCATCCAATCTCAATTATTTCCTTTCTGTCACTTTGAAGGTTTCAAGAAAAAAAGAAAAGAAAAAGAGATATCATTATTACGGATAAATGCAAACAGCTCTGTGAAAGCTGAAGTGTGATCTGA